ATATAACTAAATAGCCACTTCTAAGAATGTGTGATGAGTGTGCGTATTTTGAAACCTGGACCATCAAGTCGACTCTCCAGAGCACATACCACACAACGAGGCAGCCATTATGGTAAGGTAAAAGATGGGTGCAATGGAAAACAATCGATTACTGCCTTAAAGGTTGAAAGATGTGAGATGAGTAAAGTTCCCCTTTTATTATTATTATTATTATTATAGCTTTTATATAGCGCTACTTTCATGCTTATAGCATGCTCAGAGCGCTTTTGGTCCAATCACTTTTGTGGACCAGTGGGGGGAGGGGTATCTAGGAGTTGGTTTTCCGTGCTGCCTTTAGGCGATCAGTAAACACAACTCTGCCCGAGTCGGGTGTCGAACCTCGAGCCCCCTTCTAGGTGGCCAAACCAAGCCAAGTTCAAGCGTACTTGGCCTCTTGCCCACGCTTCCCTTTCAGACCTTGTGATCTATAGGGCAGCACAATGACCAACTGTCTTTACTTTTTCCCAATTATGTCAGGTACCCATTAGTGCTGGGTGGACTCAGAGGCACCCTAAAGATCTTGAAATTAAAAATCCTAGTCTCACCAGGATTCAAACCAGGGACCCCTCGGTTTGGAAGTCAAGTGGTTTAACACTCATCCTAAGGGGCTAAATATTTATAAACTTCGCTGTAAATATTTTCACTTGTTTTTATATCTTTTAGCATAGTTTGGTTTTTAATTTCATTTTAAATTTAAATAGAGTGATCAGTTGTTATGCAAATATTCAAATGCTAATGCATATATTTTTTTATTTCTCCTTTTTTTGGCAGCCCTGCTGCTGTTACCATTGTTTTTAACCATTACTTATTTAAATTTAAAGAAATCAACAACTCAGCCACATAATGTTTCTTTTCACTTTTCAGAATCAAGATCCAGCTTTTTATAAGCCTGCTTTGAAATGTATCACTGCAGTGACTCAGTCCAGTGAGGAAGCTAGGCAACTGATTGCACAGAATAAAGGTCAGGATTCTCATATGTTTGTAAAATAAAAATTGGAAACAGCTTCTTATAAGATTGTATATAGAATGAGCCAATAGATTTTCTCTGCTTCCAACTGAAGCCGCTGCCATGTCATGTGACTGTGTTATTGCTAAGCTTGTAATCCATTAATGTGCACAATAACTAGCTAATCTGCAAATTAACTCCTTTAAGACTAGGACTAGTAAAGTAAAGTGAAGCTCCCTTTCAGAACTTGTGGTATATAGGGCAGATGATGTAAAGGTCAGCTGTTTCTGTGGCCTACGGTTAACGAGGGTGTCATGTGACTAGCACAATGACCAACCTCCTTTACTTTTCTCCTACTAATGTTGGGTACCCATTAGAGCTGGGTGGACTCAGGGGCGCCTGAAGATCCCGAAAATAAAAATCCCAGTCTTCACCAGGATTCTTACCCCAGACCCCAGTTCAGAAGCAAAGCACTTTACCGCTTAGCCACCCGGCTTCCAACACTATAACTAAGCTTGCTTTATTGATCTTTATTGTTGTGATTGCAAGGACGCTTTTCTCATATAATATGTGGAATCAAGAGTTTTACACAATTTACCTAGGTAATGTGCACATTAATGGATTCATTAAAGTTGCTAAGTTTGTTTCTCTCATATTGTTTGTTCAGAAGCAGATCGTCAGGTGCTTACAAGTGTACATCATGGGATATGTTTGTTTACATAGTTTTGGGGTGAAATAGATTCTAAAGAGAAAGGATATGGGATCAGAAAATACCACCTGATGAGGCCAATAAAGGTTTAGATAATCTGCACTATGCCAAGATAATTTGTAGATTAACTGATTTCTGTATTTTATGGGTAATAAGTGTAAAATCCATTTCTTCACTTTAATGAATGCCTACTAAGTATTGCAAAAATTTATCTAGATAATTTGCACATTATCCAGGTAATTTGAAAAATGAAACAATTTTCTGCTCACTAATGGATTACCCTAGTTAATCAGCAAAATTTGAAAAATGAAACAATTTTCTGCTCACTAATGGATTACCCTAGTTAATCAGCAAAATAATAACAATAGCTAATCTGCAGAATAACTGATTTCTGCACTTTAGAGGTATCAACTGCTCTCCTTGAAATAAGTATTATGATGAGAATGGGACCAGACCAGATTGTTTACAAATAGATTTATAAGAAACTCTTACATTTAGCTTCATTTTACACAGTCACAGAAGGATAGACACTCCAAGGAGATATTTACATTTTTATATTGTTAAGCGTATGAAATAAACTTTGATGTCATGTGTTATTATTTTATTGTTAAGTTACTTGTCTTTGTAGTATAACCAACTCAAAAGGCAGATGAACAGTTTAGCTACATAATGTAATGTATTCTCAGGGACTTCTATTCTTATGAGATTTCTGGCCATGGAGGATGAGGTGGTGATTGGTAATGCTGCCCTGTGCCTCTCCCATCTGTGCCAAGTAAAACAGGTGTGCTCAAAGCTGACCAAGACCAACATCATTCAGAAACTTCTGGAGCTGGCCAGGGATGGAAGAAAGTCAGCTTGCCAAACTAACTGTGCAATATTAGTAGGGAAACTTGTGCAAGGAGACAGCAGGCAAGTAACCTACAGCAAACTGTTAAACTGCTATCTAAGCAGCCATGGGAAATACTGCATTCCTAATTTATTTTCGGACTTGAAGACAAGCTTTATTATTTAAGTCATTTTTTAATTTAAGTGTCCCACTTCATTGTTAAAACAATTTTTGCATCAGTCCTCAAAGCTTATATTTTTTTAAATCCCAAAATCAAAATCCCAGTGTTTGAACCCAAGACTCCGGTCCAGAAGCCCTTATGATCCCCTGTAACTTAACATTCCTTATAAAATTTGTTAGCATTATTCCTTTGGTTTGAGTTCATTTCTTTTACTTCTATGGTTTTTAATGCTATCAACTTGATATTTATTTTTGCAGACACTTAGACAGACTAAGAGAATTGCACGGCATTGAAATTCTGCATGGCTGTATGAAACACATTAAATAAAAAACATCATCATATACATGTCATATATCATATACATATTGACTAGTTATTGAAGAACTGTTAACCTGCTGTGATATTTGGTTGATTATTAATTTTAAATAAATATGTGTATTGAATACAAATAATCAAGCTCTTTATAAATGCTTTCAAAGGTATTAAATAAAAGATGAAACTAAAGTGCTCATTTAATTTTTAATTGCTTATTATTATTACTTATATTAGTGAAGTTTTGATCTTTATAATCATTAAAAGTGACAATAATCATAACAGAAAAATATTTAAAATGCTTAAAAAAATAACTTTGGAAGATAATGGAAGATAAACAACTTCTGTTGTTGTCTCCTAAGAGTTTGAATAACCAGGAGGTTGATGCATAGCAGAAAGGATACATATGACTTTAATGCCTACCATATTTTCACACATATACCCTGTATACGTGTATAATCCTCAAATGCCTATACCCAACACATTTAACAAAATAACTAAAAACTAAATCATACAACCCACACTTGTGACTTCATGTAAATTACTGGTACACAAAGTACTATCATCCTAACTATTTCTTTTTTCAAGTTTTTTAATGAGACATTCATAAAGGTTTCAAATGTGCATTTCACAACCACACAGCTGACTATAGGAGGTATAAAGATCCACTGGTATGTCCATAGTTTTCGTCATGTTTATGAGTAAAATAAATTTTGTAAACCTTCGACCTTTGTATACCCCACAATCTGCCATTTATTTGTAAAAACATGTTATCCTGTGGGTTGTATGCTCGAAAATAAAATAATACCACATCAAAATTAAAAAAAAGAAAGAAAAAACAGAATATTAAGATTTTAATCTTTGGCAGAAAAAAATATAAATAGCTTAACTTTTTGGTGTATCCAGAGTACAGAATAAAGGATAAGCTATGTTTTTTTTTTTTTAAAGCTTTAAGGAAATTTTTGTGCACTTAATATTGAGCACTGCAGAATCAAATTTTGAATACTCTTCTAGTTGGCAGCTCAATGTTGTTTAATTTAGTTGGCAACATTGAATTTCAAGTTAGTGTCCTTGACTTTTTTTTAGTTTAGAGTGAAAATCCCCAAATGTGACTCCACTCTATAGTAAAAGTTCCCTTTTCAGATCATATAGTCTATAGGTAATGTGGCCAGCACAACGATCAACCACCCTAAAAAGAACAGAATTAAAAATCACAGCCTTCACCATGATTTAAACTTGGGACCACACCCTCCACCCTGTTTGAAAGCCAGGCGCTTTACCACTCAGCCACTGCAACTCTCTATAATATAATTGACTTTTTCCTACAACATAGTGGGAGATGCATTAAATTGTGTCCTAGTTAATCCATGACAGCCACACTTCCCCAAGAGACTCATGGGCAAGCTTTGAAGAAAGACCCATATTGCTCCTGCAATCCTAGCCCTGCTTGCATTATAGTCTGCATCCAATGACTTTGTTTTCTCTGAAATGTACATGATACAAATTTCCTCGCTATTTCTTGCTAGTTATATATTTGCACTAACTGATTACACACCTTCAGAGTCAATGGCATGATATTAGAAAAACGTCCATCTCTCATTTAACTTCAATCTTTGTGAATTTTTTGGAAGCCATTCAACATTACCACCACACCGACAACACAGAAGAGACACAAGAGCCCCCTCAAAAATGTGAAACTGACATCCATGACTGGGAAATGCTAGTCCTTGATTGCTCCTCATGCTGTCAAGCCATGAATGTATTTATGGCAATGAGACAAAGAGGACAGAAAAAGCTGAGAACACAAAACACTTTTTTAAAAAAGCAGGTGATTGCGCAACAGACCCAGCCTATCCATGCTTTATGTGCCGGCTTTACAAATCAAAGATATTACTTCATATTTGACTTACATGGAAATGAAATCGTACTCATTTTTGGCCAAAAAGGATCTAAATAAGCATATGTGACAACTTAAAAAAACTAAACAGTTTAACAAATGACAAGCAGAGTCACAGGTTCAAGCTGATTTTCTGCATATTTATTTCTTTGTAAAATATCAATACATCAAAGGAAATGTTCCAAGCTAAAAATCAAATGCACACAAAACAAAAATAAAAAAATGTTGACATAAAAATAGTTGAATGTCCACAAAAGCATCAATTGAAACTCTAGTACAATGTGCTGTATTCTAACTGAAGACAAACTCTGAAGTTAACAATTTAAGAAGGAATCATTTTGTGTGTTGTTTTAATCAAAGACTAATCTTAAGTAGGAAGCATTTTAAAAAATACAATTAAATTATCAAAGAACAAAATGCAAGTTATCTTTCTGTAACTTTTGAAACTTGTTAAAAACCTCACTGGCAATATTAAAAGCAAAAATAAAATACAACTTCAATAAAATCTGTCGAACTGAAAAACTTTCATTGTGCTGAAACAAAATAGAAAATTCATCTACACAGATTATATATATATAGAGAGAGATAAATGTATATATATATGCTAGAACACATGTAAACACATTGTTAAGACAAGAAGAAACTAGTTCAAAGTTTTGTGAAGACTCAACATCTCCCTGAGACAAATCCCTTCAGCCAAGACAAAGAAATGGAAACAAAAAAATTGGGGAGGGGGGGGGGGGGAGGGGAGTGAAGTGGATGGCAAGGAACTAAAGTGTAGTGTAAATTATTTAGAAAAAAAAACAACAGCAAAACAACAAAAAAAAAAAGGCTTTGATAAAATAAGACTAACCCTAAGATCATTTTTTTTAGTATAACATACAAACATTCCTTTAACTCAGTAACAAGGAATATTTCTAGATGTAAAAACAAATACTAACATTCACTATTTTACAAAATCCACTTCTAAGGAATTCCATGAATAAATTTGCTACTAGAAAGAAAACAAAGTTATCCTGTCATTGTTTTACTAATAAAATCTTGAAACTAAGCTTGAAAAGCACAGAATATCAATGAAGAAGAAGCCCTTTTTTTATGCAGCCATTAAAGTCCTTTAACAATTGCATGTTTCTCATATTGGCTTTATGATTAAAGATTACAAATTTTTGTATTTTCTATCAATGTTTCCCAAGTCTCAAAAGGCATGGCTTTTAATCTTCCTGTTATCTTGCAGAGAAGGCAGATTGTAATCTGCCACAGAAACATGAATTACTTGGGGTAAAACTTGTTTCAGTATCATTCCACATAATGTATATTCCATGAAAGCATTCAACTTGATTTGAAAACATTAGTTAAATATTGTTCTAAAAATGTTAACCTAATTCTGTTCATTAAAATCTTTGTTAGTAAACTTTGTTTTTTAATTGTAACTAGCTTTTGATCATTATGAACTTAAAAAAAAAAAAGACACTTGTGTAAATGGTGGAAGAAAACATAAACCAAAAACTAAATGTTAACTTCACCTGAGAAGAGTGAGCAATGAATTCAGGGGGAAGTGGATAACTGGCAAGGTGGGTCACTCTCAGTGACTCCCTTCCATCAACATATCAAAAATATATAACACAAGTAGTTGCTCAGCAACATCATCATTGGCATATGTATCAAATGTTGTACCCTAGCCCAACCTACAAGCTTAGAGACTCAAGTCAGCAGATAGCCTTAGTGGACCAAAAAACATTGACCAGTATTACTTATAAACCTTTGCTGTTTACTCTTCACTAGATCAACATTTGATATGGTCATATTTAGAAAATAATCCTATAAAACAAGGTAAATAATTCTATCTATTGAATCATGTATGTTTATAATGAAATCTGTATATAGTGACTATGATAATTCATAAATCTCTATTTAATAAAACCTAACTGTACATAATAATTTTTTAAAACAAATGTGTATTCTTTTCAACAAAAAGGTTACACATATTTTGGACAATAGTAAGTGGCAATCAGAAATAAAATCTTGTCAAATTACAAAACCAAATTTATTTTTGTATACACTATAGAAACAATACATAAAAACTGATGAGTGATTCAAATAATTTAAATATTTTCTAAGTGTTCATTTGCTAAAGTTAAGACTCACTATTGAAATTTAAAGTTAGTTTTAATTATGAAATTTGACTAATTATAAACCTTTCTGATAAGTTTGTTTTCTTTAGGATACAAAATTTTAATTTTGGGACTGCCAGGTATGCCAAAAATGTGTTGTTTTTTTAATAAAAAATTATAATTAAATAGCTCAATAACAAAACTTTATATCACTAACTTTAGAATGTATACATGACTCATACTGTTTGTTTCATACTTAAGTCTGTTGTGCATATACCCTTTAATTTGTTAATACAAAATAGAGATAATATTTCACCAGTTCAAAATTTAATACTAAAAAAAAATAATAATAATTTATTGACAATGGATACAAAAATGGATAAAAATATTTCTGCATGACTGCTGATGACAGTTAGATAAAGGACCCTATCTTTTTACATTGCTACCTATGCCCATCATGCTAGAGTTAAAATTCTTAGGATTATAAAGAAGACAAGATACTGACACATTTTATTTTGATTAGAAACCAATGTGAAAAAAAAACAGAAATAGCACTGTGTTACTAAATACTCCCTTTCGTCTTGAATGATATGAATTGGTGGTTACTATGGCAGTATTCAGTGTCCTAGATGCTTACACAAGTCACTGAGCTACTATCACACTAGCTTACTTAAAAGTCCTTTAATCTCTATTTCCACACACTTCATAATACAAGGCTAACAAGATTTGCAGGTCAAATATTTAAAAACAAAAAAAAAGATCAGCTTCTGCAAGTGCTCATTACGCAACAGGCATGAATAGGCTATTTTTTAGCATTAGTAATGGGTGAATACATTATCAGAGCCAAAACGGTAACCCTAAAAAAAAAATATACTTTACAAAACAACTTAAATACCTTTAGGAAACTCAGACCAAAAATAAGATAGTAATAACAATGACAGTCATTATAACAGGTCTGAAATGTATAAAGCAGACAGAAATGATATGTTACTGTTTCAGACCATCGACAGTTGATTTTATGTTTTAACTAAAAAATTATTAGATTGAAGTATTCTAAAATCTTCTTAAAGAAACATGGTACACTTTTATCTTATCTAAGGCCATAACAGCTACAAAACTGAAATGAAGCAGGCTATGAATAGGAATTTTCATTAAAATAATGTGAAAGTGCATGACAAATAGCAGGTTGTGATTGTGGATTTACACTTGGAAACAGTTGGCCCTACTGCTGACTACACTGTTAGTGACTGTTATGTAAAAGACAAGTAAAACATTTTTTTAAAAAGTGTATATGTAAATAAATATAAAGTAGGAAATAACTGTTGGTAAGGGGTTAACAAATAAACATAGAGTGACAGCCTGAGCTTGATGGAGCACATTGTGAGTTCATAGGATGAATAGATTTTGTTTTGGATTTTTTATGTTCTATTTTAAGTTCTCTACTACAATACTAATGAAACTGAAACACTGATAATGAACCAAAAGATTTTCACCAACCCTAATTCTTTTTTTGTTCTATAAAACCACATCCTGAATAATTGAATCCTGTGATTTAAAAAAAAATAAAATATTTATTGGGGGTTACAAATGAAATACATTGTTATACAAGCTGTTACACAAGCTCCAGTTTTTGGCTACATCCAAACACCATCGGCTGATATTCTTCGTTCCAAAGTGAACCAGCCTGTGAGAGGGAAGAAGTCCAAGTTTACCCACCAACTTTTCATTTCTTGCTAATGCTGACACCATTAATGGACAAAGGATGTCCCAATCCTTACACCAACTTTTTTTTGTAGCACAAGTTATTCATGCACTACAAGGATGGGGACATTATTCCCTGCATGCAGCATTTCCATAAAAAGTGTAAGTTTTTTTGTTTTCAGAACTAGAAGCCTATGAGGTAAATAAGTTTGTCATTTTATTTTTTTTTGGAAAAAGGGGGAAGGGGGGGGAGGCAACTATAACTTTTATTACCTCGTCCAATCAAATCATTTAAGCTTGCCTATTAAAGAAAGATGGAATAAAGCAACTGCAAAAAGTGTCTTAAATGATAAATAAAAATCTGCCCCCTTCACTAAGATTCAAACCTAAGACCCATGGTTTGGATGTTTGACACTAAGCCACTCCATCACTACAACTGCTTCAGCACCTAATACGTCATTGAATGTCTACCAAGTATGTGAATGGGAGGAGGCTGTCTAAGTAGCATAACTGGGGATGAGGTTGTATACCAAACAAATAATTGGGGCTATCTACATGGGGTCCTCTCTACCTAGCAAAGTGATAGGCATAGGGGTTATATACCTAGCATAATAATTGGGAATGGGGGGTTTAATGTAATCTATCTAATGGGAAAAAAAAAAATTGTACTGAGAAATGGGATTATGGAAAATTGTTAGGAGAGTTTGATCCAATGACTATCACATAGTTTTTAAATATTAATGATATAAGCATAACTACAACACAATCTATTTTAAATTGAAACCACCAGACCACCAAAACCAAGTCAGAGTATTAGATTTGTAGCCAAGAAATGTCCCATTCAGCTTCTAAACTGTGTGTTAGAGATAAAACATAATACAACTTACCCTGGATAGAGACAATGATATATAGATGTGGTGGGGGCCTAATGGTAAAGTTGCCAAACAGCGCCTTAGGTTTGAATACTAATGATTTTATTTTAAACTCAGGCTTTTAATGTCTTTCATTTCAGACAGTTTCCATCAGTAACCAACCTTTGATTGGTAGAATAGTTGTTTAAATCCATCATATATTTTTAAAACAGACGTTAAGGTCTCCTAGGCATGTTTCTCTAGTTACACCCAGTTTTACAGTACAAGAAAGACACTAAGTCTAGCAGTATTCCCTAGAACTCTAAATCCCAACCAATAGGCTAACCCATTCACTCAAGTACTATAAATAAGAACAACAAAGATGTTAAAAATAAGCAAATCTATTGTCATTACATGAACAGCAAACCTGTTACTTGAAGTCACATACTTTGTTTGTTAGTAGAGATTTCTTTTATACACACATATATATATATATATTCATATTGCAAATTTTATTTATTTGTCTTACTTTTACAAAATAAATATAAAAACACATGAATTAATGCTTTTACACTGACATGATTCAGAAACTGGTGGTACACAGCCCAGTAAGTATGGTCATCAAGTGCGCTTCCAAGTGATTCAGTGTAATCAAATGAAGTGTGATTCCATGTGAGAGCTAGATAAAAAAGTTTTCTTTTTAGTCAACACAAACTTGAAATGACACAAATTTACAAAAAACAATGAATACCCATGTGGCTTTTCTTTTGGGAAACAATGAAATCAAAATATTAGAAGCCTCTAGACAATTATAGTTTGAACATAAACATAGTACAGTATTTTTATTTTCTGTTGAAGAGTATGGTCTAAAAACATATCATATACATTTACATAGACTCTTCTGTGTTTTTCAGTCCTAGGGCAGCTAGCTTAATGCACATTTACATAGACATTTCAATGTCTTTCAGTCCTAGGGCTAGTTTAATGTACATTTACATAGTTAGACTCTTCTGTGTCTTTGTCCAAGTGGAAAGGAAGGAGGGGGGAAGGGTAGCTTAAATGTACATTTACAACTTTTACA